TCCTCGCGTTCCTGGATCGATTCATAATAAACTCTCGGTTTCTCGAAACAATGGCCCCGTCCGGGCAAATATTGCGAATATCGTCCACAAATTTGCGTGCGAGTTCCGCGCCCGGCGCGGTTTGCCTCTTTCCCCCTACCTTCCACCAGTCTCTCTTTCTCTCTCTCTCGGTCTCATCCACCCCCTATCAGTCCGCCTCTCTCGCACTCACGGGTAGATTCGTGTCAGGACGCGGTAGCGTCGACGTAGCCGAGGTAGGGGAGGCTCCGCGGGGATGGGGGCGGTTACAGTCGTTTTCGGTAGCGTTAGTATCAGCTTTAACATGTAGCGTATATGGACCTGCGCCGAGAGAGTGGTGTAAACAAAAAAAGTGCAGCCTAAGCGTAGGAGGCAGAGAGAGACAGAGAGACAGAGGAAGTAAGTGCGAACACAACTGCAAGCAGGGTTATTTCTCGGATAAGCCGCGTTCGGTCGTTGCGCATCGCGTGGTCCTCTCGTAACGATTAGTTTTTAATGACCTCGCGGACGACGCGTCACCCCGACAAGCACCCCGTTAGTCAATCACCCGGAGACGCGGAACGTCAGGACCGGAGAGGGTCAGAGCAGCAGCAGTGATAGGAATTAGTAGAGCGAGTGCTAGAGGGATCGGCCGACAGCTTTACTGACGTTTGGGTTTGCCCTCGAACCTTCGCATTGCTCATTGTCGAGCTGGATGGTATATGGTAGGTACACTTACAATAAATACGTGATAAGGGAGATATCTATACATTTCGAAGGGGTTTGGACGGGTCCGCCTGGACCCCGAGACATCCACGCGCGTGGAAGACGCGTCAAGGGAAACGTCCGAATTTCGAGTACTCTTGGATCTTCCGAATAATGCGGCAGGTCGTTTAACGATTGAAACGTTACGTCAAAACGCGATATCCATGTAGATGGATGAACAGATGGATCGACCAATGCTTATGTGATGACCAATGATCTTTGTTGCCGATATCTGCGAGGTGGCCGGGATCGGAAATTTCCCTTGGAATTCTTTCACGAGTGAGGGACTACTCGGGTAATGTTTAGCAACTTCCGGGAAGAATCCTCGCATTTCCGCATGGTACTTCCGCGCCACCGGACCTCGTTCGTACGTTAGCGGGGCGTCTGCGCGTCACGCATGACCACGTTTCGAAAGATCCGTGCTCTCCGTAGTTCCGAATCGTTCGAGAAAATATTCCCGCAACTCGACCCGACGTTCTGCTGCGTCGCCGAAAAGGAACCGGAAGAAAACTCGTCGCGCGAAAACGCTGATCTCTTTCGGGTCAAAAGACGTCACCGAGACGACGACAATCCTCGCCGGTGACGCACTTTTGAAAGCCTCGATTTACCGAGGGAGCCGCGGACGCCACACGAATTTAACGCGATGAATCATCGCCGTTCCAAAATATTATTATATTCTCGGAAATCGGTTATTCGAGCTTGGAAGCGGAGAGACCTTTACGCGGACGATGTCGTTCCGCGCTCCATGCAGCACAGGAGATCCACAAAGCGCTACGCGTTCGTACTTGGCGCACGCACTGACGCATCCGATTCTTTGACCCCAACTTATTTTCCAGTCACGTGGTATCGATGAAACGTAAGAAGTGGTTTAAAAATGCTCCATAGCCATTGCAAATTATATCTATACGATGATATATCAAGCACAGGCTGGACATCTCCATGGTCTTCGGATGAAACCCGTGCTGCATGATCCGAGTCGACATCGACATCGACCTCGAGTACCCGAGGTCGTCATTGGAACGTCAATGAGTGAAATGGACGCGAACTTACCGAGCGCATCCGGAGTGCTGGGCGGCTTCAGGGTTTCAGCCTGCTGGAGAGCCTTGGACCTTTCGATCAGTAGGTGCTCGAGACTCTTGCCGGGCTCGACCGTCGGGATCTGCGACAATTCGACGGACCTCAGCACGTTGATCTCGCGCTTCAGGTCCTCGCAATCCCGCTGTCTCTCGAGCTTGGCCTCGAGTCGGGCGATGTGCTGCCGACGCGCTTCGAGCTCTTCTTCCAGTCGGGACGTCGCCTGCGCGCTCGTCTCCTGGAGCCGCTGCAAGCTCTGCTGCAATCTGGACACTTCCTCGACTAGCTGATTTATCTGAAACGAAATAGGCACAGGTCCAAATTAGAAGGAGATTATATTCTAATTCAAAGCGGGAGAGTTTGTCTCGGAATTTATTTTCGATTCATTTCGGATTTAATCGGATTCAAGGCATTATCGAAGAACCGCTCCTCGATTTACGAATCCCATTTTTCGGTGGAGAGTGATCGATCTCCCGAGTTCCAAAAGAAAGCTGTGCGAGTATCTAGAACGTCCCTTAACGATTTGGTACATTGGATTAATATTACTAGAGAAATTTACGAAATTCGTTGAACGCGAATGAGGAATTATTCCGCCGTATATTAATTGGCGAAAGTAAATTAAGAAGCGATTCAAAATTCAAGAGAAATTATACGTCGGGTTTGCATCAGTAGTCAGAGTAACGTCTCCATTCTTTAATTACCGAGCCAAGTTAATGTGCATTTTTTAAATATTAACCCCGCGGCCATTCCCCGAGGAAACGTCTACCTCGAAGAGTAGAGTGAGTTTCGATCAAGCAACATCTTAATTCGATTCCATCTCCCCTAGATTTGGCCACATTTCGTGGCTCGTAATCGGCAACCGCCCCGTCATTCTGTCAGAACCAAAAGAGGTTTATCCCTTACAAAGATATCGAGCATTTCCCGGTTGAATAATCGAGAGAGTGAAAGAGCAGGAGGAACCCACCCTCCAGAGCAGCCATCTTCGCGCGAAAGACAGTCGGCGAGTTATGAATCGGAAAAGTCAATAAGTAATTTTTCACGAGGAGCCCCTTTCGACGAAAGGGTAATTCCGCGGTCGTTACGAATTGCCCCGATCGTTTTTCAGTAGCAGGCCCGTAAGAAGCTTACCGTTCTTTATTAATTTTATCGGTAATAACGCGTAAGCGTGGGCGGCCAATAATCGACGTGGAGACTAATTGCCGAGAGGGAATAGTAATTTCCAGGGATGAAATGAAATAATGGCCGGAGAGCGGTGTCGCCGGGGGAGTAGTTTATCGGCGTTTCGCGACAATCGGTAATTCCCGCGATCGGTGCGTCAGGACGTCGAGGGTTTTCTTTGATGACAGGCTGTTCTCAGGGTCGTTGGCAGTCGAGTGGGTTTATTAATGACGACGGGATATGCCGATGACTCTCGAGAGGTGCATCGGTGGAGGTGGCCGCGTTTTACAGAGGAACGCACACGGCCGCGGAAAAATCACGGATCAGGCCGTAGTCGGCCGTGCACGCACGCCCCCACACGAAAGCACGGCTCGTTCGCGCGCGCACTCTGTAACGAATGTACGATCAATTGTAATCGACCACTCGAAACCAATCCTCTCGCGGTGAGTCCCGTCCACAATGCGCGCTTACTTGCGCACCCGCGTGCGGATACCCCGGCGTGCGCGTGGACGCGCGAATACGAATGGCGCCGCGCCGAGCCGTGCGATGAGCGCTGTAAACGATCGCGCCAATTGTTTTTCCTCGCGGTGGGGCAATACCGGCAAATCGACTCCCTTTCAAGCCTTCGCAATGAAGGGAGGTTAATTGAGTAGCAAGGCTTCAGTTTTGCAAAATCCACGCGCCCCCTCTCTCCGCGCTCCTCCTCCTGCCCCCGCACTTCTGCTCGCGGACACACGTAGGCAAGATGGATTTCCTCTTTTTCACTCTCACTCTCTTTTCTCCAATCTCCTCTTGCGCCCAGGGAAGCGTTCGAAAGTACGTCGAGAGACCGATTCGCGAGTAATAATTCCTCCCCGCGCCCCGATCGCCACCAATCGAAGAACCTTCACGCGGCGACCTTTAATGGCGGATTACTTATCGGGGGGATGGGGGGCTTCTCTTCGTCAATTGTCCTCACAGGGGCATAATCGATACGCGTACATGGCTCGATGTACGTGCGTACGTGCACAAGTTGGCGGGAAGCACCTTGCACGCGTAACCTGGTTGCGCTCGATATCAACCGTTCCGCCACGTAGGTGAAACTCGCGTATCCGTCAATTGCACCGACGGGATGTGTCTATCCGAATTTACGTTAGCCGCTATACCTCGGTCGATAAGCGTTCATTAATACCCGGGTAAAAATACTCCGATCGATTGGCCCGACAACAGGCCCCTCCTCCAGGTAGAACCGTTAAGAAAACTTATTATTATTTATTAGTGACGTAAAGGAGATCTACTTATCCTAATAAAGGAACTCGCCAGCGGCGTTCGGGGCTCCTTGTGGAGAAAATTATAAGCAATACGGATCAATTATATAACTATATATGTATATAGAAAGAGGAGAAGAAGGAATTGTGTGTAAATTTAAGAAAACACCTTTACCTGCCGGTAAATAAAGCGCACCGTTTCTTCAAAACGTGGCAACGTACTACTTTGTTGGCAAATCTTTATTCTAGTACTCGACGATATTAAATACGCAATGAAACGATGAAATACCCACATCTTTCTTTTCCAGGTACAGCGAACAATATCCAGTTACAGTGCATCTCGTTACCAGGATTATTAAGCCAAATCCGATCGGAATACATGATTTACCACCGTGGAAATCGGAAAGCCCCCACCCTCCACACAGAACGACCGTTCGTTTTTCTGGGCTCCTTGGTCCCTCATTTTCATCCCAAAGGAGGCAGCCCTCGTGCTCGATCCTTTAATGGAATCCTGCGAATTACGAGCCGCGACACGCGAAGGCACCACTCGAAACGGCATCGGCGTATATCGGGTATAATATTGGAATATGGATATGTGCTCGGCCGTGAGCGCGGCCGAGTGCACAGGAAGAGGGGTTCTGACGCCGCGGTGGCCCGTAGGGTCCAACGGGGAGGACTTCGTGGACCTCCGTATCCGCGGCCGGGTATCGATAATATTAATAACCGCGGTACAACGCCGGGCATTCGGGCGGGTGCAGGACGGTGGAACGAGGATTGTTAAATTTAATATCTCTTGCGGCCGTTCGCGAAAAACCGCATCGCAGTACCGCAACCGCCCCGCCGAAGGACCCCGACACCCGTAGGCAGTTCGACGTATCGATCTTTGATCTGCCGAGGGTGGAGCCGCACCCCCCGTCCTCGGCTCCGAGTGTGAGATTCGCGCCGATCTCGTAATCGATCGTCTCGTTGGATCGCGCGTGGCGCGACCACGTGAAACGCCCGGCAGACTTTCTAAGGGACGAAGGGGTTGGTCGAAATCGAATCCCCTGGCCGGGGATGGCTGGTGCGCATCCCCTTTGTCGGGGTAACATCGTTGCGCCGAGGGATGGTTCTCGTCCGGCATGGGGGCGACTCGGAGGTGTCGTCGGGCGGGGTGACGATCGGCCAACCCGCCCCGGGAAGGAGCGAAGAACAAGGGGTGCAAGGGGGCGTCAAAGAGATGATCGATTCGCCGGGTCGACGCCGGAAGATCGCGGCCGCGGACTGCGGAAACGCTGGCGAGTCCGGCCGGAAGTCGCGGAGATCGGCCCCTCGGCCGTTGTGTGGGTACTCACGAGCTATTGTGCACCCCGATCGAAAGGGGTTACCAGAAATAAAGCGCGAAAGAAATACTGTCCGAATAGCCGGAGAATGGAAGACGCGACAAAAGGCCAGGCATATAAGGGGTGGTCGATTTCGTCGGAGGGGCGGGAAGGAAGAGGCGGCGGGGAGGCTTGCCGGACCGGAAACCACGGAGATCGGCCTCTCGACGCGGAGCTCTGATTGCAGATATTACCGGAAAATGAATGGGATTACTCGAAAGAAAATGTGGGAGTGAAGTGCAGATAACTGGATCAGAATTTATAGAAATGAAATGGTCCCGGGACTTTTCGCAAAACGATTTGTCACAATGATTAAATCGCGTTGCCCCGATTGGTCGTGCTCGTCACGAGTCCCAACTTTTTAGAAAATCCCGCCAAATAACGATCTCGTTTTGGAACCAATTTTTAATACGACAAGTGCTGAAGGAAATTACTTAAGAATGATGAAAAGCATCGCCACGCTTATCCGCTATCATTAAACACAAATGCAACGTAAACGCGTTGGTTCCCTTCTTCGTTTTCTAAAGGTCCCCGGAAGTGCTTAAAAACCCGCAGGGTGCTCGTTACAACGAAAGAGCGTGTAAGACAGGGCCATTACCGGGCGTTGAATGGGTTTCGCAAGTCGCTTATTAAAAACGCCGAGACAAAAGGTACGAAAGCGGTAATTCGCCGGAGTAGCGGCCGGAAGATCGGCGCTCCGGGCCGCGGAAGCGACGGCCGAGCCGGACCGGAAGTCGTCGAGATCGGCCGCCATTGTGGCTCTTGGCTGCGGACGATCGCCTAATTCGCTCTGATTTTTCCTATTTGCATTATGGGGCGTCGGGCTTTTGTTTGTCGAGCTATTGATCACATTTTCTCCGACGGTATAATCAATCTTCGCGCACACACGCGGGGACCCGCGACGGGTAGCGCGCGAGTCCGGCACACGCGCGCGCACCCGCGCACACGTGCGCGCTCGCCGGACGGCAAGATGGCCGTTTGCTTCGTATTAATTTTACGACGCGCGACGCCCGCGTCGCCCGCGGTGCCCCCCGCGGTGCCCCCTGAGGCCGAGGGACCTGCCCACCCTCGAATGGACGTCAACCTGAGGAGATCCTCCCTGCTCGCCCGCGGAAATTCACCGAGCTGCTCGTTTCTCGATTCAACGTGCAAATCCAAAATTAAAAAATGATCGATCAACCCGATATTTCTAATGTGCTAGAAACTGGCATGGACAAGGTATTTCATGAATCGGCGAGGAAGTCAAAAATAAATCAAGCATTGACCATCGTTGCCAATAATTTGGATTTAGGGGAGATTCCACGGGTGTTGTAGAATGGGAGGACAATAATACTTTAAAAGCGTAAGTGCCTATTGTTAAGAAAGGAATACGGCAGGAAATTGGAAGACAGAGAAGCACTTCGCAAAAAGTGAGGCGTTGGTACGGCGCACAATACCCGGAGCTCATAACTAATAATCGGCTAAGCGGGGTATTCGCGCCTAGAAAGTAGCCGGAAGGGCCGGAAATCGGCGGGCCGAGGATCGAGAGG